AGTAATACACAAGTCAAGCAAGCGGTCCTAATTATTTTTGAATATATTGATTTGTATACAATTTAACAATGACATAAAGTTTATTAAATGTGAGATTGGCGGTCCTTGATCTTTCGCTTTTAGGGGTTCTGTTTGATTGCCGTTGATCTGCCATTCGAGATATGGTACATTAAAATCTCCGTATATGTAAAAGAAATCAACGCCTATAACCTGTATGTAGTCCCTTACAGCATCAAAATATGTAAGATATACATCACTGTCAACTCTCGGGGGAATATATACAGCTCCAATAATGTAGTGTCTATTACCTACAGATAATTGTACCAGTGTTTGTTCAATTACGTGTGGTAGCTCTCGAGAATTAGCAGGGTGGGGCAACGAGCAAGGCACGGAACAAAGCGAGCGCAACACCACTACTAACACGCCTCCAGCACCTCGGCGGCCAGTCGTTGTTCGGTTACGATCGCAGCGATACACAACGTAGCGGGAGACAATGAATTCAATGTTTGCTATATCGGCATGCAACGTCTCGGTTAGCATAACAACGTCGTAGGAATGCATCAAAATATTCATGTATATCGTATTATGTTTGGTTCTCAGTCCGCGACAATTTTGATAATAAAATGATAGTACGTTATTATTCTAATTATCGTATTTTACAGTAGACTATTAAACTAAACTAAGAAAACGTTATTTGAAATAATGAGTGCATATTTATTACGTGTATAGGAAATAATAATGATTTTATTGTAACGCATGGATAGTGGTGTGAAAAACGGTGCCAGAAGTATGATTTGACATTTCAAGGTTATGAAAGATTATTATGATGAAAAAATAATGCCATCCCATTATGGATCCATAATAAATGTACAGTATATTAATAGTAAAGTTAAGATAGTAATAATATTTATGCATTGAAAAGTGACACGATTTAATATTATTATAAAGAAAGAGCTCAAACAGTTTATTATTTAATATTGATGTTACCAAGATAAATAATTTATTTATTAAAATTATAGGTACACGTTTATGAGTCTGCCAGTTTATTGAATTAACATGGCACATATGTACTATTATGACTAGTAACATTACTGTAGGTATTTTACATTCAATTGACCTACCATAAATGAAAAGCCTCTCAAATGAGTAGTTACTTAATCTTATTGAGGTCTTGCTCCGAGCGTATAGCCAGCACTGGATAATTTTTGGTCTTGCGTGTAAGGATAACACCATGTTTGACCCATACAAACTTGTAATCGTGTGACTTAGCTCTGTTACGACATTCTCGAAACAAACGCTTGTTTTTTAAAGTTAGATGCTCGTTGATGAATATTTTTTGAGGTGGTCCGGATATTCCCAGCTTCTCAGTATTGAGATCCTTACTAGATCGACTAGCAGCTATGATATTGTCGCGTAGTGTCCGGGTGGTAAACTTAACAATAACATTTTTAGGTCGGGTATCTTTTTGGTCTGCGTGAGGTACACGGTGAACCGCTACAATATCGGACGCAAGTATTTGTTGTTTGATAACTGCACCAATGCCCATTAAAGTATTTGTGAGGTTCTCATTACTTCTATCGGGCATGTTAATGATTTCGATATTGCAGTCTCGAGCTTGCTGTTCCATATATGCTAACTTGCTCTCAAGATTTTTTAAATGGCAAGGTAGGTCACTGACAGGCTGCAATTGATTTCGTAAGGTTTGTAATTGTTCGTCAAAGGTGTCCTGGCGTGTTTTACTATAATTAAGTGATTTTTCCATCTCCGTCAGGAGGCTATTTATATCCTTAAGGGATTCTTTAAAGCTTGCATTGTCGGAGCGCAGGCCATGAACAGTGTCATTTAGAGTGGCCAATGACACTGTTATCTTAGACAATTCACTTGCCAAAATTAATTGTAAGGACTTGGTTATAGTCTCCATTATATTTTGATCAAATTTATCGAGTTTATCTTCTAATATTTTAATTCGGTAAGTAATGTCATCACCTTCAGGTTGACTACGCTTACGTGAATTGACAAAAATATCATCTACTTCCGCCGACGCAGATAAATTCGGATTGGACGAAAATTTTGGTGGTGTGCGGTGAATCGACATTTTTGCAACAGTTTGAAGTAATTGCGAATAAGATAATGGTATGTTTCCAAGACCACGAACAGTGATATCAATTATAGAAAGTTGTTTAGTCCCTTGATTTGTAAATATGATTGCAGTCAATTATAGCACTTAACACAGTCACTCGTAAAGATGAAATCAGTTGATCTTACTTAAAGCCACACTTTTAACTAACAACAACACGTCTACTTTCGGCGAGAGCGCCTCTGTCGACATCCATGGGATGATATGGTGTATTGGATATTCTTATACAGTCATCAGCCACTATACGGTCAATATCATACCATATCATTCATGAAACGTTACATATTCTATTCAATACTAAAAGCAAGTCTTCTCTATTGAATTTCGTTCACAAAAAAGTCTCGAACAGTCTTATATGTACTATATGTAAATTCTCTTTTTGTAAAAATTAAATAAAATTTCTTATTTAAAAACAAGCTTTTATTTAAATCCTCTAAAAAGAAAAAAAATAATGTTTAAATTAAATTCAACCTATCAATTTATTACATTACACAATTTATATGATATAAAAGCTTAGGTGAGATTTACCGATATTATTAAAAAAATATTTTTCTTAGATTTGCCTACTTACGCATTGTATTGTTGTTAATGTACACAGGTAAATCTCGCGACCAGTTACATTTTGTATTGTAAAAAATGCTTCTTTACTTTGAAATAATACTAGTTTTTACGGATTTTATCACGTATATTTAACTATAAATACCCGACGTTTCGAGCACTTTACAGCACCCATGGTCACGGGGAGGACTGAGATGTTCAACGTCCAAATGTCAGTTAACAGCGGTTACCATAGATAAAAATTTAACTTTTGTTATGATCTACACAGTATGAACTTATGGTATCTTGATGTCTTGCAGTTGTATGCTTGGGTTGGGATTTAATTTTATTTATTATAGGATCCCAAGCAGATGGTAGCAGCCAGCCATCTTCTCTATTGAAATTAGGATGTTTTTTGATTTCAATAGCCTCGCGAATCATCCTGGGAAGGAATCGGTGTTCTTTAGCGAGGATTTGTGGTCTATCAAATCTGATCTGATGTAGCCAATCTTGTCAGTGACTCCTCTAACATATGGCAGTACAGCAGGTGCATGCTCGACTGTGGCCGGCTTCACTCGTTCACTGTGACGTAGGCGCGGTACCCGAAGCTTGTTATCATGCAAAACTTGTTTGACATGATGGAGCTCGGCAGCCAGGTGTTTACTGACACAGATCCCTCGTACTCTCTGAAACAAAGGTTTACCCACGGTAGCTAACTGTGAAGGATGGTGGTGAGAATCACCGTTTAAATATCTATCTGTATGGGTCCTTTTTCTATACACAGTATGGCTCAAGGTGTTATCAGGATTCCGAATTACTAACACATCTAGAAAAGCTAAAGAATTGTTTGCCTCTAACTCCATTGTGAACTGAATTTTAGAATTTATAGAGTTGAGATGGTCTAAAAATGCAGTTACTTTATCTAAAGGTAGAATTGTTAAAGTGTCGTCTACGTACCGCTTGTAGAATCTTGGATTTATGGGAGAAGTAAGCAGCGCTTTCTCCTCAAAGTCTTCTATAAATATGTCGGCGACAATAGGAGATACAGGTAAGCCCATCGCCACACCATCTACTTGCTTGTAGAACTCTTCCTTCCACAATAGGTAGCCAGATGTAAGGCAGTGTCTGAGTAATACTGCATACTCTCCGGGCATTTTGTTCTCTTCCAGCCTTCTAGTTACAATTGAGATGCAGTCTTCAACAGGTAATGCAACAGCATGTAAACAATGACTGCACATCAAAACTGACCATAGTTTCATTGTCTGCCAGATGTAGGTCTTTAATCTCGCTGACAAAATGGTAGGAATTTTTTATGTGTGCTCTTGTATGTCCCCTGAGCGGTGAGAGTATTTTCGCTAAGTGTTGAGCCAATCTGTAAGTTGGTGAATCGATTTGACTCACTATGGGACGTAATGGAGCAACGGGCTTGTGTATTTTTGGTAACCCATACAACTTTGGTGATTTGGCACACGTAGGTGTTATCCATTTTACGTCCAAATTTAATTTTTCGGAGTGTTTCTTTACGATGTCACTAGTTGTTTTTAGTGTACTATTTGTTGGGTCGTTTTTAACCTTTTTATAAGTGCTTACATCCGACAAAAGTTCTTGTATTTTTGAATTATAATCTGACGTATCCATGACTACCGTGGCGTTTCCCTCCCGTAGAAGCGTAAGTTCTGGTTTATTCCGTAGGTTCTTTAACGCTATAAATTCGTCTTTGGGAAGATTCGGTTTAGGCACTGAACATCGACGTAACGTAGACGAAATGTCTTGTCGTATCACCTCCAAATCTTCTTTATATATGGGATCCTATAATAAATAAAATTAAATCCCAACCCAAGCATACAACTGCAAGACATCAAGATACCATAAGTTCATACTGTGTAGATCGGAACAAATATTATATTTTTATCTATGGTAACCGCTGTTAACTATGACATTTGGACGTTGAACGTCTCAGTCCTCCCCGTGACCATGGGTGCTGTAAAGCGCTCGAAACGTCGGGTATTTATAGTTAAATATACGCGATAAAATCCATAAAAACTAGTATTATTTCAATGTGTAGTGTTCGCGTAAATATACGAAATCATTATGCTTCTTTACTATTAATTTGTTTTTAACTTTTTATCTATCGCTGGACATGTTTCTAAGTCCGTTTATTTCATTTAATGTGTCTTTCTTGGTTATTGATTGCCATCTTAGATCCACCATCGTGATTTTTTATAATAATAATAATAATAATAATAATTAATGAATCGGCTATGGCTGGAGATGCAGCTCCACATTCGACAGACCAGCATCCGTGTCACTACACGTGGAAGCCGCCATGGATCTTCCAGTTGTGGTTGATTCGAACGACGATGAAATAGTCTCCCACGAACTAGAGCAAATGAGGAGTATATTGGAAGAGGCGATTTTGGAAACGCGCAGCACCCCTCTCGAAAATCGACCGCGACTTCCCCGCATACCCTTAAGCAAGCGAAATCGGGCTGTCGTGAGGGCTCTTAACCCAATGCTGGTGACCTATTTGGAAGCCAGCCGGGACCTTTGCGAGACGGACTCGATTCTCTTTGGCGCCGCAGTGGCAGTTTGCCGTATTATTGGCGCCAAACTTCCCATGGCTGGACGCGCTACTACACAAAGTAACGCCATCCCAGCCTGGAGGAAAAGAATCGAGGACCGTATCGCAAAGGCAAGGGCTCTTATCGGCAGACTGACAAGCTTCAGGTCGGGTAATAATAACGAGGATTATGCGCACCGTTAGGATGGCGTTTGCTGGGACAAATATCAGTTTGTCCCAGCCGGATATCACGCAGAAACTAACGGAGCGCATAGACGATCTGAAGCAAAAGATCGCTGCTTGGGGGAAGCGGATTGGACGATTTTCCGAGGGGTCAAGGCGGTTCAACCAGAATCGTCTCTTCCAGAGTGATCAGAAGAGGCTCTATAAATTATTGGAGCGACCAAAGGTATGTGGAGCGGGCCAAGGACCGGATCAGGCTGACATTATCGCATTCTGGCGTGGCCTGTGGTCAGAGCCCGTAAACCACAGTGAGGGCCCTTGGATGGAAGTTGTGGCGAGCCAGGGTGCGAGTGTTACGCCTATGGACCCCATCACCATAACGCCAGAAGACGTGGCTGAGGCGGTCCGTAGGGCCCCGAATTGGAAAAGTCCGGGGCTCGACGGGCTGCATCATTACTGGCTGAAGGGGTTCGTAGTGTGTCACGCTGTGCTCGCCCGACAGTTTCAAGAGGCTCTCGACCAGAAGTCACTCCCGAGCCTCTTCACGACTGGGATCACTCACTTGGTTCCTAAAGATCAGGATACCACAGACCCGAGCAAATACCGCCCCATCACGTGTCTACCCACCATATATAAGACACTGACATCCATTTTGAGCGCGAGAATCACTCGTCACCTGGAGCTAAACCAGGTGATGTCACGCGCTCAAAATGGATGTCGGGGCGGTGGTCGTGGAACTAAGAAACCACTCCTCATTGACGCGGTCATAGGCAAAGTGGTGAAACGCAACCGTCGGAACTTCTCTGCCGCCTGGATAGACTACAGAAAGGCGTTCGACTCGGTGCCACATACATGGCTAAAGAGGGTCCTCGAGCTGTACAAGATTGACTGTACAGTTAGAGACTTCCTCGAGCAGTGTATGGGGCAGTGAAGTACGATCCTTTGTCATCTGGGCGAGCGGATGACGGCTGCGGAGAACCACATAAGGATAAGAAGGGGTATCTTCCAGGGCGATTGTCTGAGTCCAATCTGGTTCTGCCTCTCTCTTAACCCTCTCAGTACCTTACTGGAGGGCTCCGGGTGGGGATTTCAGCTACGGAAAGGAGGGACAAAAGTGACCCACCTTTTCTATATGGATGACCTCAAGTTATTCGCCTCCAGTCGCTCCCATCTTATGGAACTGCTAAACATCACTTGTGAATTTAGCAGTTCCATTGGAATGGAGCTGGGGACGGATAAGTGTGCGGTCCTCCATGTTGAAAGGGGAAGGGTTGCTAACTCTGAGGGCATAGACTTGTCTATGCCCGTCAACTTAAGGACCCTTTCCGAGGATGAAACATACCGATACCTGGGTATGTCACAGAACATCGGTATCGATGAGGCTGGTATGAAACAGTCAGTTTGCGACGTGTTTTATCCACGCTTGACCAAAGTGCTTAACAGCCTTTTGTCCGGTGTGAATAAGACACACGCATATAACGGCTGGTCATGCCTGTCCTCATGTATACCTTTGGCATACTCAGGTGGACTCAGACTGAGCTTAACGCCCTTGGATAGAAAAGTCCGCACTACCATGACGTCCCATAGGATGCATCATCCGAGATCGTCGGTAATGAGGCTGTACTTGCCACGAAAGTATGGTGGGCGTGGCTTTCTGAGCGCGCTCACCATGCATAATCGCGAAGTGTGCAGTCTCCGACAGTACTTCATGGCGAGATCGGATGATCCATTCTATAATGACGTCATTTCTAGTGATAAAGGGCTTACCCATCTATCCTTAGCCAACGAGCAATGGCAGGACCCAGCAGTGCTTAGCAATTCCGACCGGGAGACCGTATGGAAGGAGAAGGAGCTCCACGGGAGGTACTACAAGGCTCTACATGAGCCCTTCGTAGATACAGTCGCCTCCCTCAACTGGCTACGTTTCAGTGACCTCTTCGGGGGAAACCGAAGGGTTTTGTCTGTGCAATACAGGATCAGGTTATTAAGACCAACAACTATCGGAGATATATCCTAAAGGATGGTACCGTCGACGTCTGTCGAGCTTGTCGCCATCCCGGGGAGTCACTTAGGCATGTCATCTCCGGTTGTCCGGCGCTTTCTTACTCTGAGTACTTGCACAGGCACAACCTAGTAGCCAGAATTCTACATCAGGAGCTCGCTCTGAAATACGGTCTCGTGGACCGGAAATTGCCGTATTACAAGTACTTGCCGGAAGCCGTGCTCGAAAATGACCGCGCCAGACTCTACTGGGACCGGGCCATCATCACAGACAGGACTATTCTTGCGAATAAGCCTGATATTGTGCTGATGGACCGGGCACAGTCAAGGATATTTTTGGTCGATATTACCATCCCGTATGACGAGAACCTCGTGAGAGCCGAAACAGATGAGCAATCAAAATATCTGGACCTGGCTCACGAGGTGACCGACATGTGGGGTGGTCTGCCGGCCGAAATTATTCCTGTAGTCGTCTCTGCGAATGGGCTAATCCCAGTTAGCCTCTCTGGTCATCTGAGGCGACTGGGACTCCGTAACGGACCGCTCCGGGCTCAAATGCAGAAGGCGGTGCTCCTTGATACTGCCCGCATCGTCCGCCGGTTTCTTTCCCTTTCTCCCTAACCCTTGGCCGTTTGGTCTCCCCTGCCGAGGGCTTCCATCTGGTTGGGCTTTTATTTATTTATGTATTTTTGTATTTATTTTATTTTATTGATATTTATGTATATTTATCCTTTCATTTTCGTTTATAATTATATATTTATACATCCCAACCAGATGAGAAAACTATATAGATACCCCACACATAATAATAATAAACGTTTATTTCGGACATCATGATCCGTATAGGTTAGTAGCAACTATTAGAGCTTTTATCTAAAGTTAGTAATTGACTATTGAACATAATACATATAACATAAACAGACAAACAGAAAAACCACACAAGCAAGATGACTACTTGACTGCGTGCAGCCGTATCCATCGAGCAAGCATCGGCGAGTCCCAACGGTCTGCCAGAGCACACAAGATACTGTTGGGGCTGTCGCGAATGCGCCTAAGGTGTGAAGCGCAACGTTTACGCATTATGGCGGTGAATTTTTATCGTCAGCAGTTGAGCCTTATTGGTTCCTACAACATTTGTTCAAGCACAACCGAACCGTACCTAATCTATAACGAGTAATAATTCTTTAAAATTGGTATGGCAATCATCTTGTTTTCCGCCATTTTGATTTTTTAACCACCGCTAGAATTCGCCTACGGTACCGATTCTTAAACGATTCAACATGTCAGCAGTTGAGCCTTATTGGCTCCTACAACATTTGTTCAAGCACAACCGAACCGTACCTAATCTATAACGAGTAATAATTCTTTAAAATTGGTATGGCAATCATCTTGTTTTCCGCCATTTTGATTTTTTAACCACCGCTAGAATTCGCCTAGGGTATAGGTCGACATTAGTGAAGACACGACCCTGCTGTCTTATCGTTTATTTAGACAATAGTACACAATCTCATCTTAGACGGTCCGCCATATTGAATTTAGAATGACGTCACTTCAGTAACCATGCTTGACCCTAAGTTATTTATTTTTTATTTATTTATTTTATTCTTTATTGCATCGTTAACAAAAGAATACAAAGGGCGGACTTAATGCCTTGAGGCATTCTCTACCAGTCAACCCACAAGTTAAGTGAAGTTAAGTAAATATACGCGATAAATTCCGTAAAAACTAGTATTATTTCAATGTGTAGTGTTCGCGTAAATATAAGAAATCATTATGTTAAGTAAAGTCAATTGAATAGACGCGCTTCAATAATGTAATGTAAACGCGCGTGTTGTCTCATCTAAATCGTTGCATATGAAACTGTCTATAGTTTTAAACAGTTTTATTTAATGATTTCTTAAATTTACGCGAACACTACACATTGAATAAAACTAAATTTACGGATTTTATCGCGTTTATTTCACTACTTTTACTTATTTTTAATTCCCGACGTTTCGGGTGCCTTACAGCAACCATGGTCACGGGGGGGGACTGAGATGTTTGATGTCCCAATGTCATAGTTAGTCCGGCTACCTTCAGTTTTTGAATATTAATTTTTGGTCCGATTTACGCAAAACGAGCTTATAGTATCATGAAGTCTTGCAGTGGTATGCTTAGGTTTGGGTTTAATTTTGTTAATTATAGGATCCCAAGCAGGTGGCAGCCCCCATCCATCTTCTCTATTGAAATTTGGATGTTTTTTAATTTCAATAGCCTCGCGTATCATCCTTGGTAGGAATCGGTGTTCTTTTGCGAGAATTTGTGGTTTATCAAAACGAATGTAATGGTGGGGACGATCTTGAACATGTTCGCAGACTGCAGACTTCCCGGAGCGTCGGTGCTTCACGTCAGCTATATGTTCTTTCACGCGGGTTTTTATGGATCTTTTTGTTTGACCTATATAAGAGAGACCACATTCACAATCTAACTTGTACACTCCTGCATCTTGTAGAGGGATATTACACTTGACGGATGGTAAAAATTGACTAATCTTCTTCGGCGGCTTGTAGTATGTTTTAATAGAAGCTCGCTTCAAGATGTAGCCAATCTTGTCTGTGACTCCTCTGACATATGGTAGTACAGCAGGTACACGCTCGACTGTGGCCGGCTTCACTCGGTCACTGTGACGTAGGCGCGGGACCCGAAGCTTGTTGTCTTGCAATACTTGCTTGACGTGCTGAATTTCGGCGGCCAGATGTTTTCTGTCACAGATCCCTCTCAGAGTTTTATTTAGTTTGCCCTGTTATTTGTTATTTTTATATTAATTTAAAAACTAACCTGACTTGTATTTTATTTATTTTACCTTCATTTTTGAATTCAATAAGCGTGTCGGTATCGGTATTGCCGATATTTTTATAAGAGCATCGGTATCCGTATCATATCGGCGTATAAGGCTAATAAAAAGGCGTATCGAGGCATTCATAATGATAAGCAGACCCACTACCAGATATTTTGTATCTTCCCACTGCTTACTTACGACG